TGCTTTGAGGCTCTGAACCTGGAACAGTGCATTTTTATTTTCCTTGTAATATAACCTTTACCTTGCAGGTAACAAAAAATGAAGTCTTGGAGCTATAATCATCAGATCATAGAATGAAAGGATTATAAGTTTTATACAGGCTAAAAAAAACCCTTTTGAATTAATTAGCATTTTATGAGTTTCAGGTACATGTGAAATATCAAATGAATAGGACCTTATTCTATTCTTATTAGGTGTTAGAAGAATATTAAGTGAGAAAATGTACCTCATATTCAATTTAAGAACTCTTCAAACTAGGAAGCTGTTGGAAAGTGATTAAAGGATAGGCTCTGAAAGCTTCACCAGCTTTAATAGTTTAAACTAATGTAAGCCATAGGTTTGGGGGGGGGGGTTAACCTTAATAAGATGAATAAAATTCTACATCAAACAAAACACCCTTTTAAACTGAAATATCTTGTCTTCAAAGTTACTTTTATATCTCTGATATGAGTGCTATAATTTCTAATCTTTCCTTTCAATGTGGGATTACAAAGCCTATACTATTGCTCATTATCTAATCCTGTGTGAGAGATGCAATCGAAACAAGTGAACTAATCAGTCAAAGGTAGATGAAGTTGCAGCTCTGAAAGATCACAGAGCATGAAAAATTAGTAATAAAGCACACATTTTCTTGTATATTAAACAAGAAAATAATTCTCATTTATACTATATATGCATATGAAGCATTTTAAAGACAATATCGAAATTGTAATCTAATTTTGATCATGAAATATGTTAAGCAATTTCTGCAGTTTTATTTTTTTGAGTCACAACAATATTAACTTCTCTCATTGTTCCCACAAGCAAATATGCATTTCCAACAATCAGAGAGACTTATCTCAATCTAGGTATGAGAATCAGAGCTAAAGGTTTCACTGTCCAAAGCATAATCTATTCTAAATTCCTGTGCTGAAAATGCAAATAAGGAAGTATTTCACTGTACGTGGTCAGAAACTCAAATTAATGTTATAGTTTTTCTACTATGGGTATTATAGGTGGCTTTTTCATGTAATTTCTGGAACATTTAATACCCCATTAGCATTCTATTGCTAAAATGAAAAACATGAACAGATATTGATCATGCCAGAAAATAAAAAGCCAAACTACAAAATAGTCACTTGAAGGGGTGCGGAAATGTCAAAATCAACATCGATTTCAGAGAATAGGTAAAAATGGTTAAGAGAAAGTAATGACCACAATCCAAACATAGACAGTATCACTTCTTCAATATAATTTTTATTTCATGCTGAAAACCCTAGGTCTGGGACAGAAATTTTGTCAGAAACAATGACACTAACTTAGCTTTGTGCCCTTGTGCTCTGTTGCTCATGAACTTAGCTTCAGCTTCACCACCCAAACTTCTCTTTCAGTGCAGCAGCTTGTTACAACTTTTGTGAGGAGAGGGTAGAGATGGTGGAACGAGGTAAGTGCTTGGAAAAAATTGCAAGCTCACACAAACAGAAGAATCCTTCGAATATTTCAGTGTTTTATCTGGTCAGCCACAGCGAATTCAGAATCTTGCTGACAGGTTAAAGAGGCCTATTTCAATATGAATGTATGACTACAGGCTATTTTTTGAACTCCTAAAACTATTCCACAGTTGAATGCAGATAAACATTCATCTGTAACTTACACAATATTTCCTCTGTGAAGATCAGTAATTATGCTGGTGCCGACTTTGTTTAAAAGTTAAAGTCATCCTCCTCTTTGTTCACTCCTCCAATCTCATTTGGCTTCCTTATGTGACTGTGAAAACTTACTCTGACCTGAACATTACCAGAACATTAGAGTAAGACACATTTTGAGTAAGGGTTTAGTATTATTTTGATCAAACATCAGGATGTGATAAATAAGCACCTTTTAATGTAGATTTCTTGTGTAGTCCATACCTCTTGAGTTTCTTCTTTACAAAATCATGAGGCACTATACATTCTGCTCCATGTTGTTTGCTTGGGCAGGGGATCCTGGGCAGCTGGGAGAACAGCACCATAGCTCCAAACACCTCCTTGACCTCTTTCAGGATGCTGCTGATCAGGTCCATCTGGACCACAGGAATGCAAAAGTACAGAATCTTGCAAAGTCCAGAACAATATCCTCATCAGCATCTGAAGAAGACTAACCCTTATTTTCCCTTCTTTGTTGAGAGCCATTACTACAAAGGGCAGTCAACACAATCCATGCACTTGCTCAGCAGCCCTGCTATCCTTTTATCAAAGTGCTTTTCATTTCACTGCTTCCTCTCCAATTTGCTTCAGAGGTGGCATGTGCGTAAAATGGGAGTGGAAATTTGGAGACACATGGTGAGGAAAGGACCATGGTAAAGCAGTGTGCTCTTCCACAGCATAAAGCAGCATGAGCACAAATTGCAGGACATTTTATAAAATGGCAGCAGATGCCATGACTGCACATGACTAAGGTGAGTTTTTCCCCATGCTATATAAAATTAGTAATAAGCAGCAGAATATGGCATCAAATTGTACAAATTGAAATGACCTTTTACACAGAGTTGAAGAAAATGGTCTATCTTTCAAAGTGTTCAAGTAAAGAGAAAATGGGTTATTTTAATAACAGTATCATGCAGGTTCTTGTCCTGTTAAAATATTTTTATTACTACTAATTACTTATGTTCTAAGGGGAAAACAATGGTTTCTCTGTTCATTCTTAGTCTATTTCACAGCCAGAGTGCACATGAGCCAGCTTGTATTTCTTAAACAAAGTGCAAGCTGTAGTCTTGATAATAATTAAGGTGCAAGACAGAGTGAAGATTTGACTAGTTTTATGTGGGTTTCTCTGTAAGAAATTTGTCCCATAATATTTTAAATTTGTTATTTATACATTTCACGTAGTCTTAATGACAGATTCATATTCTCACAAATTGTATGTATTTTCCAATAGCCTCATAAAGCTAGATCTAGAGGTACTTAACTTTCTCCACAAGGACGTAAGAATTTTTGAGATCAGTTTGATTTGTTAAAGTGACAATAGAAATTCCATTTTGAAACTAGATGTGCAGCTTTCAATTGGAGAAAAATAAAATTAAGGCTTTTCACACTCCTCTCTTTCTGCCATCTGTGTTCTTGAAGGTCAGACCTTGCTCTTGATCCCTTAATGTTTTTTATTGAATGTCAGTGATTTTCTCAGTGACACCACCTCTGGCTGGTCCCTAGAAGAACAATCTGACAAGGCTGAAGTCTTTCTGTCCTTGCTGCCCACTGCACTCTCTTTAGTGTCTAAGTGAGACTGAGCAGCTCTCACTGTTGCCTTTTCCCCTCTGTAGTTTCCACAGGAAAGATGCAACATCCCTGCAGACATCCCACCTGACGTCATCTTATCAATTATAAATAAGGCCTCTTCAAATCAAGACAGAGAAGCCAAAGTTTTGCATTATTATTATTATTATTATTATTATTATTATTATTATTATTATTTATTAATTTATTTATTTATTGTTGTCTGTATTTGCCAATCATGTTTTACTTTGTTACCACTTAGAAACAAGTCTTGGTCTCATTGTGCTAAACACTGCATGAACATAACTGATGAGATAGTCTGTGTCCCTAAAAGCTTTCAGTCTGAATGATAGGACATAAATAGCAGATGAAACAATCAAATCTACTGGACAAAAGTGAGGGAAAACATGCTCAAAAAAACCCCAACAATCACCAGTTTAATGCATTCTGCATCACAGCCACAATTTTCCCATCTGTTTCTGACTGATAACAGGCTGAGGGATACTATTTCCCCAGTTACTGCTTAATTTAGTAAAACATTATGTTAAAAAGATGCCTCTCTGAGGGACATTAGTGAAAAGAATACAAGTGAATACAAAGCTTAAGAGGTTTTGGCCTCCCAGTTATTCCAAAGGAAAATAAATGCAGTAAGCATCAACGTGCTTCTTTGCTCCCTGTACTGTCAACAAAACTGGTAGTTCTAATAGCAGGTGAGTCAGAGGAAAGTACTTCTCAGTCTTTCAGCCTTTCTGTGTGTAATCCCACCAAAGTCAAGAGCTGTACAGGATAGGATTCAGCCATAAGAGGTTGAAAATTAGTTTCAATTCAGGAAACACATGTAAATAAACCAAATCAAAGTGTAAGGAAGAAAGAGATTTCTTTTTCCTTTAACTTTTCAGAGGAAGGAAAAAATGTTTTAAATGGTACCACCTAGCAAAAGTAAATCTAAGCAACTTTCGTTTAAAATAGCTAAATGCATAATATATTTGAAACCTTTTACCTGTCTTTTAATATATCCATATAAATTTTTCATCAGTGGAAGTCAGCAACTTATGTCCATTATAATTATGATTCACAGTAATTTGTTGTCTTAAAGAATTTTGGCAAAATTTGCAAAGGAAAGAAAACTAACAGAAAAATTAAAGGCAATACTTTTATATGTATTCACCTTAGAAAAAATGAATTTTGATATGGTAATGACATCTAGACAATTTTCCTTTTAAGATCAATCTTAAATTTTAGGTTTATATTCCAATGTAAAATCTGGGATGTGGAGAATTTATTTGAGTTGTGTGTACCTTCATAAACAATATTTAAAAGTTCAGCTGTATTTATCAAACTGATTCTTCACTGATTTTTTTTTTTATTTTGCCACGCAGCTTATTGATTTATTTCTTTCTACTGAAAATTGTTTGTCGGCTGTTCGATTTGGCCACCTGACTTTTCAAAAACTTAATTAGGAAGCAAACACTTCATCTTCCCTTCCCTCAACCACTCATGTAAAGATAATTCAAGCTCCTCTGTCTTACATTGTGATCATGATAGTTATATTGCACAATAATTATATTATATTGCACAATAATTTATGATCATTTTGGTACAATAATTTATCTACATCTCAGAGGACTAGGTTGCTTATGTGGTTCTTTCATAGGTAAGACGAAAAATGTAATCCCATCTAGTAATGAATTTTATAGCAAACAAGTCTTCTGACTGCATTTTGAAGTGTCTTCACTTTTTCTTTTCTTTCTTTTCTCTGATCTGATCAATAGTCTTCGATTTGCCAGTCAGGCCATCTCGTACTCGGCTGCTAATTTAGAAAGTTCCGGAAACAGAATTTTTCACCTTCACCTTTTCACCTTTTTCTATTTAACACATTCCAAGCATCACTTCTCAGGTAACATGAAGGATAATTTCTTTCTCATCACAAGAGAAAAGAAAATTTCTAGCTATTTTCAAAATTATTCTGAAAGGATGGAAGCTGTCTGCAATTTTTTTCTGACTGGGTTTCTTTCTTTTTGAGGGTTTTTTCCTTGTTTTTTTTTTTTTTGGGGTTTTTTTCTTTTTTTTTTTTTTTTTTTTTTTTTTTTTTTTTTTTTTTTAAGTCCCAAAACTGATTAAAATTCAATCTGTTGAGACAAAGAAATTTTGAAAGATTAATTTGATGTCTTATATTTCTTTAGTATCCTTTAACTAACCTTGGTAATTAAAGGATTCTAAGGAAATATAAGATACCAGTTACCTAATAATATACTGAATAGCATAAACTACACCCACAGGAGACCTATGAAGAAATCATGCTCTTTGCTTCATTTAATTTTTTTTTTTTTTTTTTTTTTTTTTGCTGGTTGGAATAGGCAGGGTGAAGACACAAAGATTTGTGTAGAATTTACATAATTACAATCTTCAGAACTAACTTTTTTTCTAGATTTTGCTCCTACTACCAGAAAAACAGGATAGAAATCATAAGATAAATAAATACCAGAACATTTGACCAAAAAATGTCTGCCAGAATGTTATGAGAAGAGAAATAATAAAAGATGTAGAAGGGAAAGAAGGAAAGGAAAATCAGAAACTAAAGAAGTGAGCTAAAACACTAAGAGAAGAAAAGAATGGTACAAGAATAAACTTGCCTGTAATTTCTTCTCAGTCTTGGCTCATAGAGTTTGCTTTTAAATACTGTTCCAAACATAATTATTTAAATGTACCAGATGATGGTCTCAACAGATAATAAGATTACCATATAGCATTTCACACATCAACTCTTAATTTCCAAGTTAGTATAGATCTAGTTTGGAATGATTCACTGATCTTAAAAGATCTTAAATAGAGATTCAACATACAATTAAACAAGCATACAATTAAATTCTGTCCCTATTTTCTTTCACATGTGCTATTAACCTCTCCCTATGCTTCAGTAGATTTGACTATTTGACTGTTTGTTTGTTGTTTTCATTTTGTTGATAAAATATATAGGTATATATATATTGCTTTTTCTTGTATGCATTTTCTTGAGGAATAAGAGAAACTATGTTTTAATGGGAAACTCATGAATTGGTCAACATTTTCATTTATGATTGTGCTGTCTTTTTGTGCTATATGCTTATATGGAACTTCCTTATTGTTATCCTTCAGAAGTAATTGAATTCTGTAAAACACATCATACTTTAAAGACAACAAGAGGAGAATATTTAGCTATACAGTTTATCCAAAGTGTAAGTAAAAGGAAGTGTGATGAGTTGTTTTAAATATATCACATTTTCAAGGTAAAAAAGGTGAATTTTTATTTGGTATTAGATTATTTTGTAAAACCTTACTGGAATCTTTATTTCTGCTAATAATCATAATTCTTTTAAATATCATGGCACTATCATATACAGTAAATAATGTTCTTTTCACAGAAATATATACTAAAGCCTACAAAAGCTCCTTAGTGTAAGGCAAAATTAATAGCAGTAACCAGTAGCAATATTTCAGCCTCTTGTCAGCTTGTAGCTGATAAAATATTAGTTCTTATGTCTGACACAGAGAATTGAGATTACTGAGCTACCACACTTATCAACCATTATCAACTGCTAAATATTTCATAAAAATTATGTAGCAAACCAGTGCTCTTAGGTGTTGTGGGTTTTTTAGGCATTGCATATCAACATATCAGTACTCCTAAAGAAGCCAAGAAGTTCCACACTAGGACATGTGCAACCCACAGCATGCTGCCACTTAACACTAAACCACGGGTGTGGGTGCATTGCTCAGACAGCTGCTTTTGAATTGCCACAAAAGACAATCTGACATATTACAGGAAACTGGAATTGATGGCAGTCTACCTTAAGACGTCAGGCTGTAATCTGCTGTGGTCATTAAACTGAAAGAAACTAGGTTTAGATTCTTTACTGGAGGTGGTGAGGCATGGGAACAGATTGCCCAGAGATATTGTGAATGCCCCAGCAGAGGAAGCATTCAAGACCAGGTTGGATGGGGCTTTGAGCAACCTGGTCTAGTGGAAGGTGTCCCTGCTCACAGCAAGGGGTTTGAGTGTAGGCAATATTTAAGATCCCTTAAAATCCAAACCATTCTGTGGTTCTACAATTTCAGAAGCAGCTGAGCAGCCCCAGAACCTGTCTGGTACCTGACAGGAGCAGAGAGAGGCAGGTTAAGCCCAAAGCTTCCAACATGGGGGACAAAGACCGGAAGCTGGGAGGTTGTCTGGGACTGCCACACTCCTCTGTGGAAATGTATATTTCCTGCGTCCTTTCCCCCTTCACTAGATAGCCACTTGTGGCTACTATTGCAGGGATGTTACTTTTCTGTTACCTACTCTTTCAAGTATAATTAAGGAACTGCAACAATACTCCCACTAAGTACTGCAGGCATAGTGTTAACATTAAACTTGATTCTTGGGAACTGAAAACTGTAGGAAATTACTGTTTCTGTGACCTGAAGACCTTGATGTTTTAATTACAATCCTTTTAATTTCTGCTTTCATTCTGACCATAACATGAGTCACATGCCTCTCTGATAATTCAGTCTCTGCTAGCTCTAGTCTGCTTCTCTGCACACTGTGATTTCTGTGTGCTAACTTATGTCATGCCAGTGATTTTGTACACTGATTAACTGAATTGCTTATTGAATGGAGACATCTTTTTTCCTGTTATTTGCCCCTTTACTCAAGCCTGCAACCTTTGCAAGTAAAAGAAAGGCTGCTGTGTTCTGTGAATCCCACAGATGGTGCACATGGTGGTCTCTGAAATGATATTCAAGTACAATTGGGTCCTTGAAGAATATTTAAGATCTTTCTCAATCAGGAAATATCTTTCAGATTAGGGTATTATGTTACTGGGCTTTTTGAATTATACCCATGAAAGCCTCATTTCTAAAAGTGACTGGGCTTCTGCAATTCTAGTATTCAGAAAAGTATATATCCCTTGACAACCTACACATGATGTTAATTGCATGTGACTTTGCTCCTAAACTGAACAAACTAAAAAGAAGATTGTCCATGCCTATAGAGTTTTATCTGTTGGTACTGCTATATCTCTCCTCCACAGAAAGCCAGCATTTCAGCCATAATGGATGGCTTGTACACACATTATTTACTCTCTCAATTCATCACTCTCTTTACAATGAAAACTGGAGCTGAGGTGTTTTAATGCCATCCTATATGCATAGACATACACAGATAATGGATAGATAGATAGATAGATAGATAGATAGATAGATAGATAGATAGAGCAAAACAAACAAAAAACTCCCTTTTTGTTGAATCAAGAGTTTCTCACCTGTAGAAAAATTAGCAATGCACAAATTCAAATCTAAATTTACTGTATGTATATTTGAATGTTGCCATTTCCTGAAGAAAGACTTATCTTTTCTATCATTCATGAACTATCAGTCCTTTAAAAAGGAAGTCCCTTCTCTGTAAAATTATGAATAATTGCATTCATATAAATATGGTTTCACAATTTTTTCTAATTATGATAACTTATTGTATTAAAATATTGAAATGAATATTAAATTTTCTGTATTACACAGGACACATAATTTGAAATTGTATACAGAAAAGGATTTGAGGCCCAGATTCATCACAGTGCTTCAATTACTTGTTACCATAGGAAATGATGGGAAGGAGTGGTACGTAATAGTGCATATGGAGTTTGATCTCTCTTTTGTTCTCTTCTTGTAGTATTAGATGAAGGTAAATAATACATGACAAATTACAATTTTAATCATATTTTTAATAAAAAAGACTAGATTTTGTAGAAAATTTAAATGTTGTCCAAAATCCTGTACAAATTTTTCAGCTTTTCTGCTACACAATGGTTTAAAAAGATGACCCATGTGTACTGAAAGGATCAAAAAAAGCTGAAAAGCAGATACTGAAATACAAAATAGAAGACACACTTTAAAATTAATTGTAATTTTTTTGGGCTGGTTATTTGTTTGCAAACATTTGGGGATTTTTTTTTTTCATTTTTGCAATGAAAATATTTCTGTTTATGGGAATATAAACAGTCCTGATTCGTAACTGTGTGGACTGATATGCAGAAAAAAATACATATATGTGCAATGTACACTATGCTGTCATATGTTTTTAATATATATATCTTATCATAAGTATTGTGTTGTGTTTAATTTCAGATTTGCTTTTAGTTTTAAAACAAGTGAATTCTAAGATGTAACTTGTTTCCATCACCTTGCTGTCATAAAAACTCTGACCCCAACAGAGCTTTCAGGAGCATGTTCCTCTACTGTAGAACTAAAAAGAATTAAGAACTGCTAAGATTTGCATAAGTTGTTTTGTATGGCTGACAAAAAAAGGCCAGGAATGGCATTCACTGAACCCCATATGACCATAAATTGAAAAATCCATAAAACAATTACATTGAAAATACTGAGGGGAAAAAAAAAAATGAAAAAAAGCATGAGATGAAGATAACAAATTTGTCTCTTCAGGGGTAAAGAAATCTGTAATTTCATCTTTAAACTTCTATGAAAACGTAAATTTTCAAGGAGTGAAATAAGCTTAATGGTCAGTATACAGAAGCCAAACAGGAACATGACGAGGATCTGTGTCAGCACTATTCTTTAAAGGTCATCTTTACCTGATACAAAAATATCTTCTTTATTTCTCACCCTAATCCAGTTCTCTCAGACTTTACAGATATGTAAGTTCATTCAAATGGTGTCATCTCTGTATCACACACTTACTGCAGTTCTGACAGAGGTGTTTATGCACCATGACAACATTCGTTTTTGGTTTAGTAATGTCTTAGCCTGATTAGGACATATGAAATACTTATCTGCAATAGT